AGAGAATGGAGTCTGTAAACTACACAGCTAACTGAGGTTGACTTTGATTTCTGGCAAAATTCTAGAATGTATTATTAAAGAAATGGTTAGTGAATGTCTAGAAAAGGAAGTAGCAACTGCAAAGACCCAGTAAGGCTTTAGCAAGAACCATGCCAGACTCACTTTATTTCCTCTTTGGAAGGGGCTAGTAGACTGGTAGACCCAAAAAGTGACATAGCTCTAACTTACCTAGATGTTAGCACAGCTTTTTGTAAACTATCTCATGCCATTCTTATTAAAAAATGGAGAAATGTGGGCTAATAGTACAGCTAGATAAAGATAGAACCTCACTCAAAGACTAGTCATCAATGATTCTATGTCATCTTGGAAGGAGGTCTCCAGTGGAGTTGCCCAGGCATCTGTGATTGGACTTACACCATTTTAACATTTTTATCATTGACTTGGATAAAAGCATAGAAAACACACTTGTCACATTTACAGATGACACAAAGCTGGGAGAGATAACCAACATGCTCAATGACAGAGTCAGATCCAAAAAGATTTTGACAAGCCAGAATATCAGGCTGAATAAAAGTCAGATGGAATTTAATAAGGATAAAAGGAAGGTCTGATGTTTGGCTTCAAGACATCACCTTCACAAGTACCAGTTGGGGAAAAATGTAGTTAGCCAGAAGTTTATCTGAAAAAAGATCTTAGTGGAGTTTAGTGGAAGTTTAATACAGTTTAGTTTAGTGCAAGCTTAATATAAATTATATAAATTATATTATTATTATATTAATTTGTGATTTAATAATTCATTTTATATTTATATTATAATTTATATAAATTATATTATTATAATTATATATTAGAAATTATATATTATATAAATTATAATATTTATAATTTATAGATATATTAATTACGTAATTAATATTATGTTAATATAAATCAACAGTACAAAATGATATATTGGGACCCTGGGTTTTGATAGGTGAGTTTTCCGTTTAGGAAGGGTATTGATAATCTAGAAAGTACATAGAGAAAGCGAAGTGGCCTCAAGTCCATGCCATACAAGATTGGTTGAAGAAAGACAGGATATTTAACCTAGAGGAGATATGAGGATGCAGGGGGAGGGTGGGATGATTTGTTGTTGTTCAGTTGTGTCTAACTCTTTATGACCCTATGAACCATATTAACCATGGAATTTTCTTGGCTAAGGTACTGAAGTGGTTTGCCATTTCATTCTCCAGTGGATTAAGGCAATCAGAGGTTAAGTGACTTGACCAGGGTACTATGAAGTCAGATCTTCCTGATTCCAGGTCCAGCCTTCTATCCACTGAGCCATCTAGCTGCCTGTGGGATGATAGCTGTCTTCAAACATTTGAAGGGCTGTCATATGGAAAAGATGGCCCAAGAAAATTTATTCTGCATTTCCCCAGTAGGGCAGAATCAGGGTCATTGGGAGGGTGTTTCCAAGACGCAGATCTAGGTCTGATGTCAGAATAAATTTCCTCCCAATTAGAGATCTCAAGCAGAGAATGAATCATAACTTGTTTTGGTATTTTAACATGAGAGTCCCTTTTTGGTGTATAGGTTGGACCAGATGGTTGATGAGGTCACTTTGAACTCTGAGATTCTGTGAGACTTTAGAGAAGTCACTTCATTTCATGAGGCCTCCCCATTCCTTCATCTATAAAATGAGAGTTGGATTGTCTGAAGCCTCTTTATCCCAGGATTCTGTGTTGTAAGTGGGTGGCAGCCTACCTTGCCTATCATCACTGCTGATTCTGCCAGAGAATAAGAGTTGCTTACTGCAGCAATGTTTCATTTTCACGCAGCCTGCTGGAAAAGGCAGAAGAGCCAACTCTTTACAGCCATGGAATTTGTTGCACCCCTCCAAATCTATCAGGAGACAGGAACATTGGGCTTCTTTCAGGACGCACAAAATCACTACACAAATTTGCTAAACAAAGAGAGCTATTTAATAGGGCTCATTATGAAGGGCCTCTACGTGGCTCAGTGGAAAGGGTGCTGAGTCTGCCGTCGGAAAGACCTGAGTTCAAATCTTGTCTCAGACACTTACTAGCTGTGTGACCCTGGGCAAGTCACTTAAACTCTGTTTGCCTCAGCTTCCTCAACTACAAAAAATAGAGATGATAGCACTTACCTCCCAGGGTTGAGGTGAGGATTAAATGAGATAATGTTTTCAAAGTGCTTAAGCACAGTGCCTGGAACATAAATAGGTGCTTAATAAACTCGTTTCTTTTATCAGTAAATATACTGTAGGAGAAGTCTTACATCAGAGTTATACGTATAAATCTATCAAAAATTACTCATGTAACATAGGATAAAAATATTTAACAATAATCCTAAAGATATTAGGCTCACAATTATTTCTGAAAAGAGAAGCACAAATGATAAACTCTCCTAAGTCTAGTGGCTATTCAGGGACATGAGGCCACATAGATTTCCCGACCCCTAAATAAGAAAAAAAAAGAGTAAGAAAGTCAAGTCAAGTCAAAAAGCATTTATTAAGCTCCTTCTATGTTCCAGGCACTGCACCAAGCACTGAGAATACAAAGAAAGGCAAAAACAATCCTTGCCCTCAAGGAGCTTACAACCTAATGGGGGAAACATCATGTAAACAACTATGTACAAACAAGGAGTAAATTGGAAATAATCCCAGAGGGAAAAGATAGGAAAGGGCAAAGTTATGGAGGACCTTAAAAGCCAAAGAGAGCTATCAAAGCTTAAAACTGCAGTAATTGGGACACCTTCTATCTGATGTTGGAGATAATAGTGAGCCACTAGAGTTTATTGAATAAGGGAGTGATATGGTCAGACCTGAATTTTAGAAAGATCCATTTGATAGTCTCTACTGGAGTGGGGAGAGATTTGACAAGGAAGGGAGGTGAACCAGAAGGTTATACTTCAATAGTTCAGGCATGAGGGACCTACATCAGAGTGGTTACAGTATCAGAGAAGAGAAAGGGGTATACATGAGAAATGTGAAGGTAGGATTGACAGGACCTGGTAACTAATTAGATATGAGGATTGAGAGAGACTGAAAAATTAAGGGTGACATATAGGTTGTGACACTGGGTGCTCTCAAAAATAATTGGGAAGTTTAGAAGAGGAGTGGGTTTGAGGAGGGAAAGATGATGAGCTCAATTCTGGACATGTTGAGTTTAAAATATCCGTAGGACATCCAATTTGAGCTGCCTAATAAGCAAGTGGAGATGGGAGACTGAAGGTCAATGGAGAGATTAGAGCTAAATAAGTAGATTTGAGAATCATCAGCTTTATTGTTGTTCAGTTGTTTTAGTTGTGTCTGATTCTTCCTGACCCCATTTGGGGTTTTCTTGGCAAAGATACTGGAGTGGTTTGCCATTTCCTTCTCCAGCTCATTTTACAGAAGAGGAAATTGAGGCAAGCAGTGACTTGCCCAGGGTCACACAATGAGTAAGTGTCTGAGGCCATATTTGAACTCAGGTCTTTCTGACTCCAGGCCTGGCACTCTAGCTACTGCATCACTTAGCTGACCCTTCTCCCAATAATTAGAGCTGTGCAGAAATGGTATGAGCTGCCTGGGGAGGTGTTAGGTTCCTCAACCCATTGGTCTTCAATCAGAGGGCTAGATGATTGCTTGTTAGGTTGTTATAGTGGGGGGCGGCGTTTCTTTTGGGTATCAAAGGCTGGACTAGTTGACCAATGAGATGCCTTCCTATTCTCAAATTGTGATTCTTTGATATTACCCAGTATGTGTTCATTTTGATGATACCCTCCATGACTTTGGAGCTATTAAAACCAGGAAAGCTATATGGTAATCTCTGTTAAAGCTGTGACTGGACCTGCATATGATAGCAATGGCCTTTTGTACTGCCATACCTCCAAATGGAAATGAACTACTGAGAGGCACAATTTTGAAATGCACCTCAATGTCTTTAGCTTGCAAGTTTTCTGGTACTTTATACAGAATCTCCTGCCTAAGTGCTTTCTGAAGCAACACATCTCCTTGTCACACTCATTAGTGCTCATTTCTGGTATTTAACACAGAAAGTTCTGCAAAATAACATGCTTCTAATGAGGCTTTGTAGGTCTAACCACCATTTTTGAGGCTCTTTTCAGGTTACCTGGTATGTACATGTATGTAGGAAATAATCACTTTCTTCTCTTACACCGAAGTTTGCATCAAATAAGAATTGTCTCCCTTTAAAAAGGCTAGTAGGATGAGGTAATCAGTCTATAATTTTGCTAAAGGAAAAACCAAATTAAGATTATATTTTTAGTTTTTCTAAGTGACTTTAAAATGATGAACTGTTAAATTCATTATTGCATTAGACAAGCATTTATTAAACCCCTACTATGTGCAAGGCACTGTGTTGGGTGCTGGAGATACAAAAACCTTACATTTCAATTGTGGGGAAAAGGAATATGACCTGAACATAGATAAGTATAATACAAAGTGGGGAGGGATGGTAGGGACAAAGGAGAGAGATAGACAAAGTACTCCAAGATAATTTAAGGAAAGAGAGGAGACTTTCAGCTGGGGGTGGGGGGCAGGGTTCAAGAAAGACTTCCCGCAGTAGGTAGCACCTGAGATGAACCCTGATAGAAGGGATGAGTTGTAAAAGGCCGGGCCGAGGAGAAAGTACACTCCAGGCAGGGGGAGGCCTGCACAAACACACAGACGTGGAAATGTTATGTCAGATTCTGGGAACATCTAATCGTCTGGTTTGATTGGCATACAGAAGACACGAAGAGGAGCAAAGTGAAAGGAGGACAGAAAGGTGAAATACAAAGTTGAAAAGTGTGTATTCTATTCTAAAGGCAATAGGGAGCCCCAGAAGGTTTTTGAGGAGGTGAGTGACACATGAGGAACTTATTATGACTAACACAAGAACTTTAAGACAACACATTCACATTAACAACCATCTTATTATTTTCCAATATTGACAGAAGTACGAATCTGCTCCTTAAGCATCAGTTTGATGTCCACAGACCTGGGCTAAACTTACTTATTTATGCTTGTTGCCACTATTGTAATTTTCATTAATGAAGCTCTGAAGAATTTTTCTTTCTGGAAATAAGGGGGAAAAGTTTTGTTTAATTTTTTAGAATGCTAAAATAAGAGTCTAGAATAGAAGCAAGTAATGTATACCATTGTTTTAACAAAGTTGAATATGTTAAGGAATGTAAGACTTACACAGTAATCTTACAGGTAGAGAACAATGTGCCTTAAGAGGACAGGATCCCTATGTACGTAAGAGGACATAATTATTTAATGATTGGCAAGAGTCAACTTAGTATTTGGAAAATCAGCTTAGGCCATATGGATAACAGTGGCAAATATCTTAGGCTATTGTCACTAATATTTTGCAGGGGAAAAGAGTTATTTTTCTGGCCAAACTGGCTAATTTAATGAATTATTTTCCTCTCCTTGAAAAATAAGACACAAGTAAGGAAAAATACACATATCATTATTTATTTCATTATAAAATCATTACTATATTTCAATTAATGTGACTAACTTAGAAAAAGTTGCTGATTTAATTCAAATATCAACCACAATTGATTAAAAATAGATGCCACTGACAATGAACCACATTCATAGAAAGGAGCCCCTAATAAAAATAGTAACAATATCCAGCATTTAAATAGCACTCTAAGGTTGCAGCGTACTATACATATTTGATCCTCAAAATAACCTTGTTAAATAGGGGCTATTAAATATTTATATTATTATAACGAGAATATTTACAATAATAAATTAGGGGCTATTACTAACTATTTGTATTATTGTAAATAATGATAATATTTACAATAACAAATTATTATTATTATCATTTTACAGGAAACTAAGTTTGAGCTGGTTAAGCAGTTAAGCCCAAGATTATACAACTAGCAGGTGCCTGAGGCCGAATCTGAAATCTGGCCTTCTCAACTCCAAGTCTAACACTCACACCCGCTGTGCCTACCTAGCTGCCTTATAAAGTTACGTGTGAATAGTAAAATTTGATTATTTAGCATGTTTTATCATCTCCTTGGTAGATAAGGAAAAAACTTCACTGACCTTTCTTACAAATTGTCCCTGCTCCAAATACCACCCCCTCTCTTCCCTTTTTCTAGAATCTTTTATGCCTGGAAACTTCCATCTGCTAAATGGCATCTGACTGCCTGAGACATCAGAGATGGGAACCAATCAGATGTGCCTAAATGAGATCCTCCCCCACACCCTGCAAAACTGCTGGGTTCCCTTTTTAAGGGATTGCTCCCAAAAATGAGCAGCCCTCTGCTGTCTTAGTACATGGATTGGCCCTAGCATGAGAGATCAGCCTGTGGACGTAGTATGTGGACCTAGTATGGGGGGAAAGTACACATGGTATCTGAGGGAACTCAGTTTATAACCCTGGTGTCAGAAATATTGGCTCCAGCTTCCAGGGTAAGAGGTTGGCATCCCCCATTTGTTGGAAAAAATAGGCTCCCAGTCCCCCTCCCTCAATGATTAGGGGATGACAACAGATAGCTGAACCTGACAGCCCACATCCACGGACAGTAGCTGAACCTCTTTCATCTCCTGATGACCACTCTGCTTATAGCCTTTCCTTGATGTCCCCTGCCTTTTTTCTTCTTGTGTTCCCAGCCTTGGATGTCCCCTTAAGTCTCAAGCCTTCCTCTGGATTAGATTAAAACACTCAGATAATAAAAGTCTATTGCATTTTGCATTGGTGGCGACTCTGACCCTCTTGCAGACTCCCTCTTCTCTGTCCCCACCCCAATGGACTTAGAGATCTAGTTTTTAAACATTTTAGGAAATGGCTTTCTAGCTCTAAAATAAAGCTGAAGGAAATTGACAAGGTGAAGGATTTAAAGCAAACCAGCTGGATCCAGTGAAGCTAACTATTAGGTCGATAGCTTGCTTATGAAGTTGTCAAACCCTGGCTGAGAGCTATCAACTGTCCAAGTGCCCAGACAACTGGATCTGGCCCCTTCCTGACTTTAAGTAAGGTAGCACATCTGCTTCTTACATGTGTCCTTAGTCTAAGCTTGGGGAGGAGGAAGAACACGGTGAAGGGGGAAAGGAGAACAAGGTAGGACATTATTCCAGCTCTTTCTCCATTGGTCTGAAGCCCTTGCCTTAAACCCATTCTTTTGTGTTGATCAAAGTCTTTCTGCTATGCACTTTCCATCTCCTTCCTCCCTCTCTCCTATCCCCTTCCTTGCCCTCCCTCTTCCCTCATCTTGAGCTTCATCTCAGCCTTCAGGGAGTATACAACTCCTACTTTTGCCCCAAAAAAAGGAATTCCTGAGATGTAACTCCAGAGAAGAGAGCTAGAGGTATGTGAGTAAGAGGAGAGAGCTAGAGGAATAAGAGCTGATTTTTTTCTATTTGAAGGATGGAAATAGTTTTAGAAAAGACTATGAACTTCAGGGATCCTAGTGGTGGTGTTCAATCATTTCAGTCATGTCCAACTCTTCATGACCCCATCTGGGGTTTTCTTGGCAGAGATACTGGAGTGGTTTGCCATTTCTTTCTCTAGCTCATTTTACAGATAAAGAAACTAAGGCAAATAAGGTGAAGTGACTTGCCCAAGGTGACCCAGCTGGTGTCTGAGGTTGGATTTAAAGGAAAATGAGTCTTCCGGACTCCAGACTTGGCATTCTAACATTGTATGTTTTTTGCCTTGTATACTCAATGCCTAACATAGTGCTAGGGACATAATAAATCCCTGATTGGTTGACGTAGCCATCTTAAGGGCACTAACTAACAGCCAAAAGAAGGACAGAAGAAAAAAAGAAAAATGACCATGTAGCTCATTTCCTATACAGAAACATTATGATTAGGGCCTCTTTCAAGGGAAATATCAATTCAGAGAATTAAGCATAGCAAGGTAGGGTGATGGGGAAAGACCATAAAGTGGGACAGTTCCTATTTGATGAAGACCCAATGGGTTTTGTTCTACCAAGGGACCAAATTGTATCTCAGTATGTCTATCACCTTACCATTCTCTGGAACTTTCTCAAGGTATTTCTTGATTTCAGTTTCACTGAGAGAATTCAAAATCATTACAAAATCTAAATACTCCTTTCCATAATGTCTTTCATATGTACTCTGTTTCTTTGAATGTTCTTGATTCCAAATGTGACTAAGCAGAACAGAAGGAACTGGGAAGACAAAGGAGAAAAAAGTCAAGGGGAAGAAAGCCTATGGGTAAGCAAATAATCATCACTATCTCTTGACATTACACTGGAAGCCATGGATCCCCATGATGGGCTGAATCTGCATCCTCAGTGATGTGAGGAACTAAGTTACCATTTTAAATGAAACCTCTTTAAATAACCAAGCCAGGAAAATCTGGAGGGAGGTATAGAGTCACAAGATTAGCAGGTTTATTACTGGAGCAATGATGGGAGACTATGTAAGAGAAATCCAGGTTTGAGTTTCTACAATCGGGACTTGGGAAATTGTATGAGTATAGCAGATTGTAAACTTCTTGAAAGTAGAGACTGATTGTTTCTACATGTAATTGGAAAAAAAATCAATTATGAAAATTTTCAGAAAAAAATTTTAAATAAAAAAAGAAAGCCTGCTTCATTTTTGTCTTTGTACCCTTATTTCCTAACACAGTGTCTGGCACTTAAGACAGCTCATTGAATCAAATTGAGTCCTGAAGGCTGATAGTTGGCAGACCATGGCAGTCATAGAACCTCAGAAGCACAGCTTGGAGTCAGACGTGAATATGGTTTTCAGCTCCACTGTTTTAGTACGTTTATGACCTTGAGCATTTTATTTTTCCGTATCTCAGTTTCTTCCTCTGTAAAATGAGGCTAAAAATACCTCATCCTGCTGCTATGAGGACCAAATGAAATAAGGTCTATAAGTACTCTTTATAAGTAGCTTGGTTTGGGAAGGTGCTTTGGTTCTTCTATTAGAATATGGTTGTGTCCAAAGATCTGGGGATTCACTTCAAACAAAGCAACTGCAAAGATTTGTCTGGTACTGCTTCTGGCTTCCATGCAGAGAAAGTTATAGAAAGAATGACTTTCCTTGACTAAGAAGAATAATGAAATTGTGTAGGTCATTTGGAGTGGTTTTCTCTAGTGAAGAAGACCAGAGGTTGAATTTGGAGAAGAGAAATTAAGGAAAAATTTGAAGGATGAAAACAATCTCCTTCAACCAGATTATTTAATAGACCATTCTAGACAGAAATAAGAAATAGATGAGGAGTTTGGGAAACAAATAATAATCCTGGAACAGGGTCATAATAGAGTAGTGATAAGGTGCCTCATTTATCCAGACATCTGACTAATGACTTTACCAAAAATAAAGCAACTAATAATTTCTTGAATTACGTTAATAACAATTTCATCCTTTGAAAGGCAGAGGAACAAAAAAAGGGAAATTCTATTCTGGGTCTGATTCTCATTAACAGAAAGTGGTTGCTAGGATGGTAATGACAGAAATTCATGGGAAAGTGACCATCCCCTTCTAGAGTTTGTAAAAGAGAAGTCCAGGAATAGTCTGACATGTACCCTCTATTATAAGAAAGCACATTTTAAAGAGTTTTGAGAAAGGAAGGGTAGGATTTAATGAACTACTAGTTATACAGGGGAAGTCAGTCCATGAAGTATGGGAAATGTTCAAGAATGAAATACTTAAGGTACAAAAGTTAAAAGTTCCAAACTGGAGGACAAATGGGATTTGTCTGAAAAGAATGATGTGGACACATAGGGAACTCACCAACTAATTTAATTTTTAAATGGATGTGCAGAAGATGGAAACAAGGCCAGGTAATAAAAGATGAATTTTAAATGTATGGCATGGTCCTACATGAAATTTAAGGAGTGATAAAGTTCTGAGGTTGTAAATAAGATTAAGGACAAAAGTCAATAAGCATTTATTAAGTGCTTACTATTTGCCAGGCACTGTGCTAAGTGTTAGAGATTTTTTAAAAAGGCAAAAGACAGACCCCTGCCCTCAAGGAGCTCACAATCTAATGGGGGATGTACAACATGCAAACAACTATAGACAAAGAAGCTAAATTCAGGATATGAGACTGCAGTCAGCAAAAAAGTGAGGATTGGATAAGTAGATTTGAGGATTGTCAGCATAGAGATGATAATTGAATCCATGGGAGCTAAAAATGAAATAATAGAACCTTAATGGCCATCGACTGGAAAAAGCTATAGCAAAGAAGACTATGTTGGAGAGGTCAGATAGGTAGGAGAACGAGGATGGAGTATTATCCTGAAACCATAGAAAGAAGAGAATATTAGCATGACAGTGTCAAAAGCTAAAAAGAGATCAAAAGGGATGAGAATTGAGAAAAAGCAGCATTGGCTTTGATGAAAGAGATCAAGAGGGATGTGGATTGAGAAAAGGTCACTGGCTTTGGCAATTAAAAGATCGTTTGTAACTTTGGAAAGAACAGTTTTGTTGTAATATGAAGTCAGAAGCCAGAATGAAAAGAGCTGAGAAAAGAGAGAGGAAGTATTGTAGGTCTTCTCAAAGAACTTAGCCACAAGAGGCAGAGCAGATTTGGAATGATAGCTAGCAGAGATGGTAGAATCAATAATAAAGGCATTTTTTTTAATATTCTGAGAGAAAAAGGGAGGCTTTAAAGAAGAAATGAGGATGATAAGGACATTAATAGACAACAGAGAGGGAAGGGAGAGCTGTCCAATTTTTGTTTTGCTTCACTTTCCTTTATCAAAAATGATCTTTAAACTTCCCACTATGCCCTCATCAGACCTCACACCTAGAGTATTGTATTCAGTTCTGAGCACCTCAATTTATGGGAGGCATTGATAAGCCAGAGGGTGTCCAGAGAGAGCTAGCAGGATTAGTGAAGAACCTTGAGTCCATGTCACACTAGGATTGGTTGAAGAATTAAGAATATTTAATCTAGAGAAGATTCAAGGAGGACATGCCAGCTATCTTCAAGTATTTGTTGGATTGTTATACGTAGGAGAGGGATTAGGCTCCATCTGTTTGGTCCCAGAGATCAAACCAGAGTCAATAGTTGGAAGCTGCAGAGACTAGCTTAGGCTTGATGACAGGAAAAACTTCCTAACAATTAGAACAATTAGTGGAGTGAGTGGAATGGGCTGCCTTGAAAGATGGTAGGTGGTTCCTCCTCCTTAGAAGCCTATAAGCAGAAGGTGGATTAATTTTGGCAGTTATGTTATAATGGGGAATACTTTTGTGTATGGTTTCAGCTAGAGAGCTGCAGAGGTCCTCAAATTCTGTGATTCTGGGAGTCTCAACCCATGCCCAAGCCAAATTGGCCTCTTTCCCAGATTGATGCGAGGTTTTCTCTCTGTCTTTCATTGGAATGGGAAGATGGCTAAGTATTTAGTATTTGAGTTGCTAAAGCTCCCTCTTAAAGTCAATTGAGGGGAGTGTGATGTCAAAAAGAACAAGAATATGAATAGTGTGTGCGCCCTTCTTCTTCTTTCTTCTTCTTCTTCTTCTTCTTCTTCTTCTCTTCCTCCTCCTCCTCCTCCTCTTTCTCCTCCTCCTTCTTCTTCTCCTTCTCCTTCTTCCACATAAACAATTATTGCATCAATGTTCAATGTGAACACATGTCCTTTAGATTATCCAGGCATTTCCAGAATATCATTATTCAAAATCCTGGATTCTACCATAAATTATCAAAGACATCCAATATATGAAAGCTATCTGAATTTATGACCTAAAAATAAAATGAAAGAATATATCTGATGAGAACAGAATCTGGAGCTTAAATGTCATCAGTCTGAACATTTACCTTATGAAAAGCTATCATAGAGCCCAAAAGAATGGGAGAAGTTGGGATAAAAGATGTTCCTGTTGTTGTTTTTTCCTATTAGAGCAACCCTTTTCTTTTCCACAACACATATCATATCCTGTGGTAGTATTTGATGACATGAGACTTATGCATGAAATAGAACAGGGATCCACTGCATTTAGAATTAAAGCCTAATTCCACAGATTAAGGTTGCTCATAGTACCTCAGTAGTGTTCAAGCAGTGAAATATACCTTTTTTTTTTTTTTTTTTTTTAGGCAATTGGGGTTAAGTGACTTGCCTAGAGTCACACAGCTAGTTAAGTGTCAAGTGTTTGGTCTGAGGCCAGATTTGAACTCAGGTCCTCCTGACGTCAGGTCCAGTGCTCTATCCACTGCGCCACTTAGCTGCCCCAAATATACCTTTTTTTAATTGCAAAGTGGTCATATTGACTTGAAGAAGTGATACTTAACACTGTATCCTTCTGGTTTTTGTACTTCCTGCCTCTTCCTATATAAAGGCTCCCAAGTGAATAAGTTTTTAAATGCTTGATAGGGGTATACAAAAATAGATACACAATCAAGATGTGTAACACAGAGACAACTGATTCCCCACCCCCAAATGTAGCTTTAATGGTGATGCCTGTCAGTGGTTCTTGAGGGAAAGTTCTTTTAGAGCTGGGAAGATAAGCCTTCAACACTATTTTAAAGACCAAATTTATCCTTACCAGGTCCATAAGCAGCAATTGGTAATGATGCATTACAACCATATCTGAAAGTCAAGTCTCGTAATTCAGGTATCTTCACTGGGACTTGGAAATTACGCCTAAACTCAGTTTCTAGACGCCGAGGAAGTAATTTTTTCCAATCAAGAGGCACTTGTATAGTTTGTTTCAGTTTTATTACTAGAAAGAATGGAAAGTAACCAATTATGTCTAATTAACTTAGTGGAATTAACATTTTAAGCCCATTTTCTCTGCCTTTCACTATTTCCTGCACTGAAATATGCTCCCCATATTTAGAGATGGAGGTGACATCTCTGATTTACAAATACTATATAACCAAGAATTTATCTGGAGCAGCTAGGTGGCACAATGGATAGAGTGCCAGGCCTAGAGTCAGGAAGACCTGAGTTCAAATCTGACCACATACACTTGCTACTTAAGTAGCAAGTCACTTAACCCTGTTTGCCTCAGTTTCCTCCTCTACAAAATGAGCTGGAGAAGGAAATGGTAAACCACTGTAGTAACTTTGCCAAGAAAACCCCAAATAGGATCACAACAAGTTGGACATGACTGAAATGACCAAACAAGAAGAAGCAATCTGCTCCTTTATTGGAAACATGGAGTCTGAGGCTGATTGGCTTGATTGGTTAGGAACATAGTACTAATCAGGCCAAGATAATGGACTTATTTTCATATGTGTCAGTTAGTTCTTTTGTTCTACTATATAATTCCAAATTGCAGTCTTCAGCCTGGCCAGTTATACTGCAATGTGTGCTATTGCTCAAAAACTAGAGAGTTTTCTCTCCTTGAGGAAAATTTTTATACAGTGACATCAAAACCAGGGAAGTTTGTTGCTATACATATTTACATGTGAAAGGCAATATTTTAGAACAAAAGATTTGAAGGTGATGGTTTCATAGCCAACTTCCCCTTAGCCTTTTTTGTTCTGGTCTTCCCTTTCCCCTTTCTTTTGCATGAGAGATCTAGAAATTTGGGAGGGGCACATAATTCCTCAGATCCACAAAGCCATTTGTGGCCTTTCTATTTCTTTGTATCCCTAAGCATTTAGCAGGATGTCTGGCACATAGGTGTTTAATGAATATTTACTGACATTTGGAATTCGGTCTCATAAAAATGAGTTGAAGGGAAAGGCTTATTGACAATTAGAAATTAAAGTTAAAAGTGGCTTCCTATCCCTAGATCAGATAGAGGTTTAAGACAGGAGCTTTGATTCTATGAGCAGAAGGAAATAAGTTCAAAAGAAAAATTAAATGTCATTAGGGTGAAATTAGCTGCCTAGTTGGCTTGTGTTCCCAATGAACTTAAGCCATAGAGCTAAGACTTTGGTAGCTGTCAAATTCTGCCAGGCTCAGCTGCTTCTCCGAGCAAAATCCTGAGCAGTATAATGACAATATCAGAAGACATTCCACACCTCTGTATAAACCACACATAGTTACTTCATGTTCTTCTTTATCTGCGAATGCCACACCTCTCCTGTGGTTGTGTCCTCATGCATGATCCCTACACGCTTGCCCTTCTTGCCAACGTCCGTATTTGTGGGAATACATGAGAGGAATGTTCTACTGCTATTTATTATTCCATTTTATTAAATACCTTTGCTTTGAACTAATCACTTCTTGTGGTTGACTACTAAAAGTAAACATATCAGTGGGGGCTCATTAGCTATGGTGTTGTTGAGTGTATGTGGACCTAGAAAGTACCTTAAACTTGGGGTAGCTCATCGGTTTCTAAGAAATATATTTTATTTATGTCTTTTGCCTATACATCATAGTTTATTTCCAGTATCCCTTCTAGATCAAACTCTCTTGTGATAAAGAAAAGCAATTTAGCAGAAACATATTTACATAATATGTATGTGTTTATATATACACATATATCAAATAATTATATATCATGTATAATTCTGTACATATATCACTTATATATAATGTTTGTATATGTGTATACATACATACATTACATAAATATATTGTTTGTCCAAGTAATCCTCCACCTATCCAGCATGAGAGAGTCAGAATGTTTTATTATCTCCTCTCCAAGATTTGTTTTTTCTTTTATTTATTTCTATTTATTTATTTATTTTCTTTTATTTCTTTATTTGTATTTTCTTTTATTTTATTCTTTTATTTATTTATTTATTTTCTTTTATTTGATTACCTCTTAACAATGTTTATATTTACATTGTTGTAGTCATTGTGTGTATTAGTCTCTTTGCTCTGCTTATTTTGCTCTCCATGAATTCATACAAATCTTCTCATGATTCTCTGAATTCCTTCTCTTTGCTATTTCTTATTCCACAGTATTATTCCATTATATTTGTGTAATGTGTTTTTTTTTTCCAATCATTTCTCAATCAGTGAACATTCTCTTTGTTTCTACTTTGCTACCACAAAGGGCTCTGCCTGTGAATATTTTGGTATGTACAAGAGCTTTGTTTTTCTTTTAGTTCCTTGGAATATATGCTCAATAGAGGGACATATATCTATATATTGTATAACATTTATATATGTATCATTTCCCTGTATATTCTTGATAACAGATTTTTAACAGTGATACTTGATGAAAATATTTTCCCTACCCTACATATTTTTAATTATTCCATCATTTATTTTATTTGTACAAATATGTTTTTAATTGTATATAGTTAAGATTATCTGTTTTGCCTTTTGTGATATCCTTTATCCCTTGTTTAGTTAAGAATTCTGCAGAGTAAGCTTTTCTAAAGGCCTAGCATGTCTAGAAGGGGGCACCCAGGCTCTATACTGTTTGCCTTAAGGTGAAATCTTGGTGCACTGCTCCCATCCCAGTCATTAGTCCTAGACGGAGACTGGGGCTAATTGCTGGTCAATTCCCCTACATTTCAGAGGAGAAATGGAGCAATCAATCTCTATGTACGAAGAGAAGAATGGAATCCAACACATGACTTCCCATGCAGGAAACAAGGAAAACCGGGGGGCTTACATTTTGATTTGTCCAAGTAGTCTTCTCGGAAACTAGAGGTATACTGATCTGCTATTGCTTTACGAATTTCTTTGAGTGTAGCAGGAATTCTCCATGGAGAAGCACAGTCTGATTGCATATTTGAAAATTGCCGAGGTAGTTTCCAGATCATAAATTCCTATCAATACAAACAAAATTGTTAGAAATAGTCATCCTTTCCAATAAAAATGCAGCTGGTATACCACTCAGCATTTCACATATGTATATATTTATTTTATTTATTATAAAAATAAATATATTTATTGAGTTGTTTCAGTTATGTCCAACAATCTGTAACTCCACTTGGAGTTTTCTTGGCAAAAATACTAGAGTAGTTTGCCATTTCCTTCTCCAGCTCATTTTATGGTTGAGGAAACAGAGGCAAACAGAGTTAAGTGACTTGCCCTGGGTCACACAGCTAGTAAGTGTCTGAGGTCAGATTTGAACTCAGGGCCAGTTCTCTATCCACTGTGCCACCTAACTGCCATATATATGTATATGTATATGTAAATGTATATGAATATATGTGTGTATGTGTGTGTAATATATACCTATATGTATATATAATTTTGTTATCTATTCATTTCTTATAAATTCATAGTCTTTATTTTTCCTTCTATTATCTTTCACATCATGATCATCTAGGACTCTTGATATGTAGGGGCTACTGCTGGGGTTTCTTACAGCCCTATTTGGACTAGTAAGTTGGAAAGTTCCCCAGAGCTCCCCTGAGAAATGAGTATTAGCAGTACAAATAAAATCTCCTGGAGATATCTGCTCAGCATCCCTGAGCTATATACGTGCCGCCACAGCTAGAAAGTCATCTTCTGTATGTAGAAACCTTATACACAGAGTTAGTTGGCCTTGACTTCTTGGCAATGGTATAATGGAAAGAGGACTGGATAGGAGCCAGAAGACTTGAGTTTGAATCACAGCTCCACCACCAACTAGCTATGCCACCAAAGGTCAGTAACAACCCTTTTGATTCTGCTTCCTCATCTATAAAATGGGAACAATAATACTTGTAGGAAGGTGTGTGTTGGTAAATGTTTGCAACCAGCTTTCGAAAAATGAAAAATGAACAGCCAATATACTTTTATATTTAATCTGCATTATTAATATTTTCTCTATCACTTTCTTAAGGCTCTAAGACAATTAGAAAACTAATAAACCAAGCCCTGATTTATAACTTATTTCCAAAGTATGAATGCTAACACTGAGAAAATTTAACCATCTAGTGAGCTAGTTCAGCTACCTCCAGCACACTCCTACCTCACAACACAGGTTTCGATTTTTGTGAGTATGGCACTTTATAAAGTATAGAACACTATATAAAAATAGGCCATATTATTATCACTGAAACTTCAGTTCACAGCCATTTCAGTCCTTAGATATCCCCACCCTCCACCCCACCTCCCCAGTTACTTACCTTTCACAGAGGTGGTGACTATAAATTTAGCTCAGTGTCCAGGTGATTTTACTCCAACCCCTTTAGGAGGCCTTTACTTTGTAGTTCCCTTGGTCACTAAAGACGCTTACCCAAGATGTTCCCTGTCAAGACATCTCATTAGTTCATGGGTCTAAAGCTAAAAAGGACTTCGGAGACCATCTTATTCAATGCCCTCCTTCTTTGGCAGATGAGGTTTGCAGAAGATTAAGTGACTTGTCTAAGGTCACAGAGTCAGCCCTGGAGACTGGATTTAAACCCCACTTTACTGATTCCAAGACCAGGCTCTTTCCATTGCAGTATGGACAATCCAGCAAAAGGCACTGGGAAAAAATGGCCAGATGGCACCAACTGGAGGGGACCCCACACCTAGTGATTGTGCCAAACTAAAACCTCTCCAGAGGGAAAGAAAGGGGGAAAATATACTTCAAATCTGGTGGACTCTCTTTACTAATTTAACTTCGAGATTCTTTGGTATTTTCTCAGTTGTCATCCTTTCCTGACCTCTCTGTCACATTGTAGAATATTCTTTCTAACTTTCTGGACGCTCTTTCCTCTCTTTATTTGCATGCCACGGCTCTCTCCTGACTCTCCTCCTATCTATCTTTCTCAGTGCCCTTTGTTGAATCATCCACACCCCAGTGAAAACAACACTGGTCCTGGAATGCTTAGTGCTAGTAAGCATTTAAATCCAGTCTCTGGTGCTGACTATGTAACCCTATGCAAGTCTCTTAAATTCCTGTGGACCCCAGTTTTTTCTGTCTGTAAAAAGAGGGTGTTGGCTGGGATGGTCTCTGAGAGGTCTTGCCCAGCTTTAGACCCCATGACCCTATGACATACCTTGCCCCGCCTCCCCCCAAGGCTCTGTCAAAGGCCTTCTTTTCTCTCTCTCTCTTTTTTCTTTTAGGCAATTGGGGTTAAGTGACTTGCCCAGGGTCACACAGCTTAGTAAGTGACAAGTGTTTGGTCTGAGGTCAGATTTGAACTCAGGTCCTCCTGACTTCAGGGCCGGTGCTCTATCCACTGCACCACCAACTGCTCCTCTTTTCTCTTTCTACACTCTTACTTGGCTACCTTATTAGTTCCCATGGGTTCAGTTACCATATTTTTGGAGATGATTTCCAAATCTACATATCCTTCCTAGTTTCTTTTCTCCTAAGCTCTAGTCTCACATATCACTAATTATCTATTGGACATTTCAACCCAGAGATTCAGCCCATGGGCATCTCAAACTTCATGTTCCAAAGTAGAACTCATTATCTTTTCCAATTATCTTTTAACCTGTCCTCTGTCATCCCATTCTATCACACCATTCCATTATGACTTCTGGAATCTTTACTATTGTTAACAAATTCTTTATCTTAAATCACTTCCACTCTTCATCTTCCAAGGAATAAGGGAAATTTGGCTCTCTTCAGGTACTACTCCTAAAATTCAGGTCTGACCAGGTCACTCCTTTGAACTTTGGGGGATTAAGGATGACCTCACAACCCTTTGGAAATAAGTAAAAGTCATCATATATAAACTCCAAGAGAGCCCTGAATCAGGACCAATGTACTTTCCTCAAAGTTTCACTTTCAAAAAAATTAAATGTTTCATTTAGCCTTTTTCCATCAAAGAAATCATCCCCGTAGTCTTTGATTTCCAAATTCCTGAAATTTTGAAGTTGCAATTCAGCAACCTACTGTTCCCTTCTCCATTTTGCTGACCTGGGTTCATGCCCACAGCCTGTATACCACTCTACCCCAGTCTACATATATTAAGAAGGCCAATAAAAAATCTGCAAAATTCTAGACAATGTTTTCTCAATGTTATGCATTTCAAATCGATTCAATAACTATTTATGGAGAGAGCCTACTACATGTTAAACACTGCTAGACACTAGAGGGGATATGACAAAGAGTGTGGAAACAAGGTTGGCATGGAGCTGCTACTCAGAAGGGACATGGTGAATACTCTACACAAAAAATAATAGTGCAAAAGAAAATACAAAGAAAATGTGAGGTGACAGGGAGGAAAGACTATTTATACCAAATTCCTCCAAGTAAACCCATACCTAAGACATCACAATAACACTTATTAACCCTGGAATTTTATTATTAGGAGATTCCATTCACATTTATTCCAATGAGATGCTACTTGAAACTACGGTCTTCAGAGTGGCATTTGAAGTTTCTTTGAGACATATGTATTTGTACATTTTCAGATTCATTATTGCTATACAATGAAATTCTACTTAGGTTTATCTATATGTATTTACATCAGTCTTACCTTGCTAGGATGGGGCCTATTGATGATACCTTCCAAAGATGTTGCAGTATTTATCATTTCTTCTCTAGAGTACGGTTTCCAATCATACTGTTCATTGTATACTGTTTGGTTGCCGATAGGATCATTGAGCTTGTATGAATATCCTAACCTTTTGAAATCATTATGACTGTAAGAAACACATTAGAAATTGTAAAAGGGAATCTGAGGCCATGTGTTACAACAAAGCATGCCAAGCACTTCTACCAGAAGTATTTCTGGTAGAAATACTGGTAGAAACTTCCAACTTTTAAAGATAGGCAGGACCAGGTAGACAAGATCAAATATAATAAACTCTGTAGAGTTTCTTGAGGATAAACAATCCTCTGAGATGGCTGTCTGCAAAAGTATGCCAGACTTGGAAAGACAAAAAAAGAGGAGAGGGGCCATATTCTAATAAAAGTATTTTCATATATTTTAAAAGACTGAACACAACAAACTGTTGAGAAAATTCAGGTTGTATCTACAGGAAAGCCAAATAAATATATATTTTTAAAACATAATCTCTCTGACCTCAGCTTCCTCAACTTTAAAATGGAAACTGTATTTGGAATAACTTACCTCATAGGATTGTTCTAAGAATCAAATGAGAAAATGTATTAGAAAACATTTTGGGATGATAGAGAACTGTGTAAATATATTAATTATCTTACATGTGGTCAAATCACAGACTAGAGCAATTTTCTATAGAACCTTAAACCTTTCTTGATGTCTTCTTATGGGTTAAATTTAGATTGAATCCCCAGGTAGTTTTTTTTAAATCCTCTTGGCAACCCCTTTGGGATAGCTCTAATGAGCCATGCACATGTTTCTATGTTTTATATATATTTTATCTTACATGTAGATATAAATATTATATATTTCATATTTCCCAGGATCATAGGATTATATCTTTTTATTAGTTGGACAAGTCCTTAGTTATTACCATGTCCAACCCCCTTCATTTTCAAGATGAGGAAACTGAGTTCCAGAGAGGGGAAGTAACTGGTCCAGGGCCAAACACGTGATGTAGCCAGCAAGGATTTGGATCCAAGTCTTCTGGTTCCAATTACAAAACTTTTATGATATCTGATGCTACGTTATGGCCATCCCATCCATTGTTGTTATTTATTTGTCTGTCTCTTCAACCTCCCAAATTATACTATAAATCCTGGAGGGCAGGAGACATATGGATGGCTCTTCCTTCCATTTTTCAGTGCTGATAACACCTAGAACAAACAGTGCTGGGCACACAGTGGATGTTCAGTGATGCTGTTATTGACTGATAATCATTTTTTTTTAATTTTGTTTCTACACAACAAAACAAAATGAGCTAGTCAGAAGTATTTATATCAAAACATAACTCACCGAATTGGGTCAGGAACTTCTATTCGTTTAGGGGTGTACACATGCATCATTGTCGTTTCATAGGAATTCCAATTGGTATCTCCCGCTGAAAGCATAACACAGCATTTTCAGACTTGATGAACATAGGTTAGTTTCTGTTTGTATACTGTTTGAGAGCATCAATTCAACAAGGAAAATGTTTTGGCATAAGAACAGTTTTGCTATAAAGGAAACTTTTCTAATGCAAATGTAGCCCCTTAACTAATAGAAATAGGCTCAGAATAGTTAAGAGAAAAGGGTAGAAAGCTTTTTCTTTGGTTGTTTGGAGACTATGCACATATAGGTAATGAATTAGAGGATCATAACTGTAAAGAATCCTATGCATGAATTAAGTCAACTCTCTGGATAATACAAGTCATCAAATCCTGTTATTAAGAAAAAGATGAGATGTGGATTTGGATCATCCAAATTATCTGTGCCCATTGAAAGAAATTCCTTTATAAGAATTTGGCCGATTGTTTGACTCTCTAAGTTTTTTCGCCTCAATAGACAGCCACAGAATTGCAGAATAACAAAGCTGAAGGAGACTGCAGAGGCCATTTATAGTTTAGTCCATATCTAAGCAAGTATCCCCTCTATAACTTACCTGGTCCTGGATCAAGTCATCATCCTGTCTTTCTGCTTGAAACTCTTCAAGGAGATGGAGCTCACTGCCTCCCAAGGCAATCCACATCACTTTTGGACAGGCAACTGTTAGGAACTATTTCCATTATCGGGCCCAAATAAGTCTTATTATAACCTCTACCCTCTGTTCTTAGTCTTGCCCTCTGGGACACAAGCAGGACAAATATAATCTCTTTTCCATATGACAATCCTTGAGGTTAAGAGAGCTATCATGTTCCCTTTAAGTCTTCCTTTCTCAAGGTTAAATACCTCAAGTTCCTTCCACCAATCCTCAGATGGCATTTGGAGGATTCTCAAGACCCTTCACCATTCCAGTGGCCTCTTCTGGATGTTCTCCAGCTAAGCTATTCTCCAATGCCATTCTTAAAATGTAGAGCCCAGAACTGAATACAATATGCCAGATATGATCTGACCAGAGCAAAGTCCAATAGAACTCTTAATCCTCTAGTAATACTGTTGTACTTTTATATCTTTTCTGCAGCCTAAGGTTGTATTAGCTGTTTGGGCTGCTATCTCACACTGTTGATTCACTCTGAACTTACAGCTCACTATAATCTCCAAATCTTTTTCAGAAAAGCTACTCTCTAGCCACATATCCTCCCCTCATATTGAACTTATGAGTTGATTTTTTTAAATTCAAGTGTACATTACATTTATCCCTATTAATTTTCATCTTCATAAATTCATCTCATCCCAGTGTTATTCTAGCCCAGGTGTGGCTGAATTTCATCACAGACTATTTTTGTGTGAACCATAAACTAAGAATGGTTGGATCTGAACCTCAAGCTGTGGTTTGCTGAGCCTTATAGCCAACCAAGATTACTTTGTTTTGTTAAGTCAATTTTATTTAATTTTCAGTTCTGAATTCTTTTCCTCTCTCCACCCTGCTACCCATTCAGAAGGCAAGTAAAACAAAATGCATTGTAGATATGTATAATCATCATGTAAAATAAATGCCAGGACTAGCCACATCCGAAAAAAATTATATATCATCAGCACTCTGAGACCATCAGTTCTCTTTCTGAAGGTGGACACCATGTTTCATCATGAGTCCTATAGAATTGTGTTTGGTCATTGTGTTGACCAGAGTTATCAAGTGTTTAAAGTTGATTATCTTCACAAAATTGCCATTATTGTATAAAATTGTTCTGAGTTCTACTAATTTCACTTTGCATCAGTTCATATAAATATCCCTAGGTCTTTCTAAAACTATCCCCTTCATCATTTCCTATAGCATAGTAGTATTATTCCATCACATTCATATGCCATAACTTGTTCAGCCATTTCTCAATTGATGACCATCCCCCCTCAGTTTCCAAATCTTTGCCACCACAAAAGAGCTACTATGAATATTTTTATAAATATGGGTCCTTTTCCTCTTTCTTTGATCTCTCTGGGATGTAGACCTAGTAGCTTTATTTCTGGATCAATGGAGATGCATAGCTCTAATAATTTTTTGGACATAGTGCCAAATTGCTGCCCAGAATGGTTAGATTAGTTCAGAGCTCCAACAGTAGTGCATTATATTTTCCCACAGGCCTTCCAGCATTTGTGATTTTTCCTTTTTTGTTATCTTAGCCAATCTAATGAGTACGAAATGGTACCTCACAGTTGTTTTAATTTGCATTTCTCTAATTATTAGTGATTTGGAGCATTTTTTCGTATGGCTGTTGATAACTGGGATTTCTTCCTCTGAAAACTGTCTGCTCATATCTTTGATCATTTATTAATTGGGGAATGGTTCTTTTTCTTGTATTATTTTACTCAGTTCCCTATATAGTCCAGAAATGAGACTTTTATCAGAGAAACTTGCTGCAAAAGTTTTTTTCTCAGTTTCCAAATTTCCTCTAATTTTCTCTGCATTAGTTTTACTTGTGCAAAACTGTTAAATTTTGTGTAATCAAAGTTATTCATTTTACATACTGTGAACATCTCTATCTCATCTTCAGTCATAAACTTCTTCCCCATCCATAGATCTGACAAGTAATTTTTCCACATTCCATTAAGTTGCTATACAGTGTGAAATGTTGGTCTATACCTAGTTTCTGCCAGACTACTTTCCAGTTTTTCCAACAGTTTTTGTTGAATTGTGAGGTATTTTTCCCCAATAGCTGGGATCTTTGGGTTTATCAATAACCAGGTTATTGTGATACAGTGCATGGAGCACTGGGCCTGGAGTTGGGAAGACTGAGTTCAAATCTAGCCTTAGTCACTTACTAGCTGTGTGACCTTGGGCAAGTCACTTTTAATCCCTATTTGTCTCAGTTTTTCTTCTGTAAAATGGGGAAGCACTGGAGCAGGAAATGGCAAACCATTTAAGTATCTTTGCCAAGAAAACCTCGTGGACAAGTCTATGAGGTCACAAAGAGTTGGACGTGACTGAACAACTGTACGACAACAGACTGTTACATTCATTTGCTTCTGTATGTTGTGTACCTAATCTGTTCTACTGATCAATCTTTCTATTTATTACCTAGTACACCAAATTGTTGTGACAATCACATCTTTGAGATCTTATACTACTAAGGCCCCCTTCCTTCTCATTTTTTCATTGATTCCCTTGAAATTCTTGACTTTCTGGTTCTTCCAGATGAATTATGTTATTTTTTTTCTAGCTCTATAAAGTAATTCTTAGGTAATTTGATTGGTATGGCACTGAATAAGTAAAGTAATTCAATGTAGTATTGTCATTTTTATTACATTGCATCTGTGTACCCATACTAAACGAATATTTCTCCAACTATTAGACCTATACTTGTGTGAAGAATGTTTTATAATTGTGTTCCTGTGTGTGTCTTAGCAGGTAGAGTTCCAAGTATTTTATACTGTCCGTAGTTATTTTAAATGGAATTTCTCTATCCCTTCCTGCTGAGTTCTGTTGGTAATATACAGAAATGCTGATGATTTGCATGGGTTTACTTTAAACCTTGCAACTTTGATAAAGTAGTTGTTTTGGTTAGTTTTTTAGATGAGTTTCTGGAGTTCTCTAAGTAAACCATCATATCATCTGCAAAAAAAAATAGTTTTGTTTCTTTTTTACCTATGCTTATTCCTTCAATATCTTTTTCTTATTTTCTTGCTATACTTAGCATTTCTAGTACAATATTGAATATTAATGATAATAATGGACATCCTTGCTTCACCACTGGTCTTATTAGAAAAGCTTCTAGCTTACTGATAATGTATGCTCTTGGTTTTTGATAGATATTACTTTATCATTTTAAAGAAATCTCCATTTAGTCCTATGCTTTCTAGTGGTTTTTAGAAGAAATGGGGGTTGTATTTTGTCAAAAGCTTTCTCTTCATCTATTGAAATAATCATATGATTTTTGTTGGATTTGTTATTAATATGGTCAATTATGCTTAGAATTTTCTTAATATTGAGCTACCTCTGCATTCCTGGTATAAATATAACCTGGCTATAGTATATGATCTTTGTGATAAATTGCTGTAGTCTCCTTGCTAATATTTTATTTAAAAATTTTGCATCAATATTAATTAGGAAAATTGGTTTATAATTTTCTTTCTCTGTTTTGCTTTACCTGGTGTGGAAAGAGATCTGGACTCTAACGTTTCCTTTCATTCTACCATCTTGACTCCACCTATCCACCAATATTATTTTGCATCCTGACTGTAATCCAATGAGTTAACTATCCTCAATATGTAATTTTACCCAGCCCTTTCAAATCCATTCTCTCATTTGAGTGATCTTTTGTTAGTAGCCGGTCTGCAAAAGTTCATTGATGAAAATAGATTCTGAGCCGAGCTTAAAGCAAGTGATGGTTTCATTTTAAAGGTGAGGGAGTGGGGGTAATGCAGATAAGAGGAGTTACATGAGTCAAGACCTAGAGATGGGAATGAGTCATAGCTGGGAAGACATGCCAGGATGAGCCAGAACAGTGGGCTTCTTTATGGAAGATCTACAGGACAACTGCATAATCAGGATGAGAGGGGCAAGGATGGGTTGTAATTTATATTGCTGGAACAAGTACCCACATCTATCCCAGATCCATCAAAATATGAAAGTAAAGTTGGAGGGGTAGAAAGTTGAAGTGGGAGAAGGAGATGGAAAAAGCAATTGATGGAGACTCAAATAGTATTCCAGGGCTGTAATCTTTTTGTAACACGCAACAGGGAAGTACGAAAGGGTCTTCATCAGGAGAGTGATGTGATAAAAAGTTGTTAGAAGGAGATCATTAGAGCTGGATCCACTGAAGAAGGGGGCCAGTTAACTAATTCTCACTTATAGAGCACTTTAAATTCTTTACATGCACTATCTCCATCCACGGATGAGAAGTTGGGGTCACAGTTTCTTCATAAATAGAAAGGAAGAGGTGAACCCAGAGAAACTAAAAAGAATGGAACAGCATGATTAATGGATTGATGGATTGCAAATAATAGGGGGTGATTGAGAGCAAAGTC